GTTTTGGTTTTTTTACATTACTGTGTGTGTGTGTGTGTGTGTGTGTGTGTGTGGCCAGCTCAGCCCACCAGGGGGCGGGGCTGGTTGGCATGTGGTGCTGGGTGATTGAACTGCGGTCCCTGTGCTTTGCTAAGCTTGTTCTAAGTAGGTGCTTTAGACCACTGAGCCATCTCTCCAGCCCTGGGAAAAATGTTTTATGACATTTCCAAAACTAGTAATTCTGGAAAGACATACACTTAAAAAAAAAAAAAGAGGCACTAAAGGATTCACATCCCTTCCCGCAGTTTGAGGTAATACATCCTGATAGCAAAAAATTTATGCGTATGTAAACAGTAGAATAAAATATATAGTTCTAAACTGTTGATGCTTTAGAGCACTGGTGGTGAACCTATGGCATGCACAATGTGGTGCACTGTTTGTATCACCAAAAACTGTAAAATGTTCACCATTACTGCTTTAGACTGAGGATATTTTCTAATTATTTGGTATTACCAATACTTAAATATTTCTATTTAACTTTTAGTGTTTGTAGTTTGTATTTATACAATGAAAGAGAAGGTGACATAAATGTGTGCATAGCAGCGGGTGAGTCTGCCATGTAGCCACTCTAACAACTTTTATCAGCATTGATTAATGCATAAGAAAAATAAACAATATTAAAAAAAAAGCCATTCATTAAATCCTAGGACAAACCATATTCACTCTTCAAGAGACCAGGCCCGTTTAGGGCAATAAAGATGTCAGGGATCACTCCTTCAACAATCTTATCAGAATGTCCACTAAACCACACTGTACTTAAAATGATTTCATATATAAAAATTAAATTTCTTGCTACCTTTAGTTCAAGAGGGCAATTGTGAGGGAGGGAGGGATGGAATATGTAAAAGTTAACACATTTTGCACAGTACCTATAAAATTCTTCTTTTCCAGCCTTTCCATCATTGTCAGGTATAAGCCATCCACCATCAGCCAACTGTATTCCCTTTCCAAACTGTAAATCTTCCTTACCAAAGTAATCCTGAGTGTGAAACTGAAAAGATTCTGCATTTTTGCTGTTAATTTTCATGCAGTGTTTAGATACACCATACATATAAAGCTGCACAAAATAGAAAATTTTGATAATGACTAAAGTCAAATAAAACACTTGATGGAATAAAAACAAGTGTAACACCCCAACACTGAATATACCAAAACTTTTCATTTAAATACTAAAGGATTTATTATATTTTCTGAGCTCAAACTCTAGCAACACACACACCCCAAAAACTGAAGCAAAAACCCCTCAAAACAAAAATCCTTTTTTAGAAGATAGAAACTGTAATGTACTATAAATGACCTACACTTCAACAGCCCCTGCATATTTTTATTCCTTCTTTATACATACATATGCCATAGGAGGCACTCTGAGAATTAAAAATAGTAATGATTTACCAAATCTATCAAATTCCAAAGGGTGGAAGGGAGAGAACTTGGAAAAGTTATTTTAGGGAATCTAACACACCTTCGGGTGCTTTCTTTCATCCCAGTATGCCTAATACAACGTCTTTTGTTTGCCATTTGACTCGAGTCAGACTCTTGCTCTGGAATTGTGGCTCTTTCACTTACTAGTTAAGTAACTCTGGGTAGTTACTTCACCCTCTCTATAGTTCAGTGTTCTCATTTACAAAATGATGAACGAAGTAACACTGCTTTGCTTTAAAGTGGTTGTAAGGACTCAGTGATAGCTAACTGATGCATGTAAAGGTCTGAGAGTATCTTACATATAAAAAATGTTGGGGCTGGCAAGATAGCTCAGCGGTCTAAAGCGCCTGCTTAGGCAAGCTTAGGCAAACATGCAGGAACTACGGCTTGACCCCCAGCACCACAAGTCATGCCAGCCCCACCCCCAGGCTGGGCTGAGCTGCCCACCCCCCAAACAAGTCACTGTTGGTTGTTAATACCATGAACATTATTTCTACCTTTCCACTGCAAAAAATTCTACTGATAGTAATGGCTTGCCCAAATCCTCTTCACGGCATCAGTTGCTCACATTTTACATTTAAGGTGACTACTCTATCTAAAGCCTGAAGGACTAAGAGAACGACTTTTTAAAAAACCATTCTCTGTATATTCTCTTTATTTTTAATTTCAGCTATGAAAAAGTGGTTTTTAGGCACAGATCACTCTGACAGGATAAGGCAGGTCTGGTAAAGGAAAGGGAGGTGGCCACTGAAGGCAGATGTAGAAATATGATTTCATTCATGAGTAATATGTTCATTCTTCAATCATAACAATCTGCAGATGCTAGTTAATAGTTACCCTTGCTATACAAATGCTAAGGATTATATACAGAAGTGTACCTGTTTATGAGAACATGCGGAGGGAATTCGGCCTCCTACTGCTGCTTTCAGAGAGATTCGAGGCACAGTGGATGTTTTTGCCAGATACAGACTACCTGGCTGAGGGCAGATATGCTGCCTTTCTTTTCTTTTAATTCGAATATCCTGTATTTCTCTAGCATTCTGGAGGCTTGCCATTAAATCTGTTGAAAAACAAATTAGCAAAACATGAAATGGAATGTAAATTTTAAGAATACAACCTCTGCTTTATAAAACTACTTATCAATTTTCTCTAATTTTACATGCAGAGAAAAAAAAAAAAAAAGCAGTTCTTAACCACTTCTCAACATTCAAGGATTAAAAAAACCCTAAAATTGTGGAAGTGTATAAATAGAAATACATCTACTATTTGTCTCAATTTTGGAAGAAAGTTAGTAGCATGGTAAGTTTATTTATAAATAACAGTCCTAGGGCCGGTGGTATAGCTCAGCGGACTAAGTGCTTGCTTAGGTAAGCAGGGTTTGATCCCCGGTTCCACATGCCCCACTGGCCCTGCCCCTGGGCGTGCTAAGCCAGTGTTGGAGTCTGGGCATGGTGGCATGTGCCTGTAATCCCAGCACTAGGGAGGCAGAAATCAGGAGGATCACTATGAGTCTGGGCTGTGTAGTGAGACCCTGCACAAACAAACAAACCTATAAGTAACAGTCCTAGATTGTGTATGTCTAATAGCCTTTTTTTTTTGGTACTGGGGATTGAACTCAAGCCATTTTTTTTTTTTTTTTTTGGAACCAGGGATTGAACTCAGGCCCTTGGCAAGAGCTTATTCTACTGAGATATCTCCCCAGCCCCTAAAGCCATTTTTAAAACAAAACATAACCCAAGAAAGTCTGTAAGAAGTTACTTTCAAAAGAAAACATGAAATAATTTAAATCTTATCATTGGATTTAGATATTTTGAAGCATTAAAAAAGGTTTTGAAATTATTAATAATCACTAAATGGGGAAACTCTTCAGGTCATAATATTCAATAAGATAAATATCTAACCAAAGGCAGAAAATAGCCACATAAATTGTCTTACAGTACCTAAAGGTTCTGCACACTTCGTGAAAATTTTGACTGTTGCTTGACTGGAGCTGTTTTTGTTAAACTGATGACTCTCACTGTTACTGACATTATTTTCATTACCACCAGGGCCATATTCATCTATATTTTGTTTTTGTTTGTTTTCCTCTAAATTAATATCCTTGCTCACACAATATTCATCTCTGTGAAAATGTGATTTAGTTTTGAACGGTGGAACAAACACTTTGGTTGCTTTGCCTGTAGTAGTCGAGAATCTTACTCTTTCATTTCTTACAGTAGGAACTTTATAAAATGGCTGTCTTGAAACTGGTAAACTGTTTGAAGATTTTTCCAAAGTTGAGTGTTCACAAAGATAAAGTTTAGGTAGAAATTCTTGATCAGGTGCAATAAAATTTAGATTCTGGATTCCTTGCTGGTCATTAGTTGTGCTACGTTGGAAAAAAAATAAGATTATTTACCAGGAAGTGTGTTCACATAAACATGTGTGCAAATGCAGACCCTCAAATGCCCAATGGCCAGGCTGTCTGGGTAATTGTTTTGCATTCATCATAATTGCCATTCCAAAACACCACTGTAATTTTCAAAGCTTGCCGTACAGGTTTTGCTTTATTTCTATTTTCACTATTCTTTCCTTAGCTGTCCCTTCTCTAGTCTACACCCAAATCAGAATTTCAATTCATTTTCTCCATAAAATAAACTCTAGTCTTCTGAAGAAGAGCAGTAAGTGCCCATCAGCAGTAGGTGAGGGGATACAGATGATTCTTAAACAGAATTTCAACTACTCTATTTTCTTTACTGTGGGAAGTACATGTTGCTGCTAATTTGAGTTTCTCAGGGGAACTGGGTAGATTTTTCTGCTTGCTCTAATGTTGGGCTTTAGTTTTTTCTCAGGTTTACTGTATCATTCATGTTTTTGGTTTTTAAATTCTTGTTCTTTCTTTTGCGAGTGTCCTGCAGAATTGTGTGTTTAAAAATTCTATTAGCAATTTTAGTAGGGTTTAGAGAGGGAAGAGAAAAATATTTTTAATATCTGTTGTCATTTTACTAACTGATTTTTACTATTTCCTTAATTCACCTCAATCTTAGAATATCTTGCATAAAATTGGAATATAATCTGTTGTGCTACTTTAAAAGTTGCCTAGAAACTAAAAAGTGAAATAACAGTATGAACAGTACTATATTACCAAACCATTAAACTTTTAATCCTCACTCAGGCTTTCAAAAAAGGAAGCATTAACTTCTTTGCTGTAGAGTTGCACCATTGATTTTGGAAATACTCAAATTTTTTTGGTCTTTTTGAGACAGGGTCTTGCTATGCAATTCAGGCTGGCCTTAAGCTCATTTTGTAGCCCAGGCTGGTCTCAAACTTGCAACAATCTTCCTGCCTCAGCCTCCCAAGTGTTGGGATTACAGGCATGCACCACCATGCCCAGCCAGAAATACTAATTTTTAAAAAATTATAATTTTTCAACATTAATAGAATTTTTAAATAATATAAACACATGTTACCAAGTGGGTCCACAGGTAACTGGCTCTAAAGAAATGTGATGCGTAAACAGCTTTCTATCTTTTATTGTACCTAGAAAAGATAATTTGACATTAATAATGAAAGTCCAGGTGGAGATTTTCTTTTCTACTTGTTTATAACATTCACTTTTATACATACTCACACAAAAAATTGAGACAATTATATTTTTAAAATTTCAATGCACTCATGGACACAGAAAATAATAAAATTCTTGATTATTAAATTGATGACTATATAGCAAATAACTCTGAACAGACATATAAACTAGTTATAAATTTAGCTAGCTGATACTAACAAGTTCAAGTCAAAGTTGTTAGTTAACTACCAATAGAAATTGGTAGTTAATCTAAAATATAGTTTTAACCAAGATTTTAAAGCAAAGCCTTGGGGCCAGGGAGATAGCTCAGTAGAATAAGTGCTTCCCTGGCAAGCACAAGGGCCTGAGTTCAATCCCTGGTTCTGCCAAAAAAAATCCAATAAATAAATAAAATAAATGCAAAGCCTTAGGTACTATTCATCTTCAGTATATGGTTTATACTTATTAAGCCTTCATTTAGCCCAGTACTAGGGACTGGCTGAATAAGCTAGGGTATGCTTATATATAACCACATGAGCAAGTACTACTCCACCACAAAAATAATGAAAAAAAAAATAAATATGTTCTGAATAAGAAAGGAACATAAGAATACATACCTATATATCATATTTACTTACTTTACAAATATGGCCATAAGAAAAATATATATATTTATTTTACAAAAAAAAAAAATCCTGACAGAAATCAAATCGCACGGGTAACAGCTGAAAGACTTAACAACTGGGATCTGTTCTTACTGAGAAGTTTTTTCACATCAAAAGAAATTACCAATAAAGTGAAAAGGCAACCTACAAATTTGGAAAAAATCATGACAAATAAGTACTCAGACAAGGGTCTG